AATAAGCGTTATGCTCGATATTCGTGTGCCATAATTGGTCCTATAACTGGTTTCAGATAAATCAGAATCCGTCGCTGAATAAATCGCTGAATAAATCGTAAGCTTCACGAATATGACCCGACGCCCAATTGAAAAAGCGATTAATTTGAATACACGGCGCTGCTGATCTGGTGGGCCCTAACAGAATGCTGTTGGGACTTTGGAAACGTGAATAGAAGCCGATCTCCTGCATTCACCGTGCATTGGAGCCGGTCAATGTCTTGACATTATTTAAATGCTTAAATTCAAGTTTTGAGCGCTTTTGAAGAGGTCACTTGTGTGGACTGACCGTGTTCTGCGCATGAGCTCAGTATTGTTTGGCTTGACAGATACGGGTGCTAGAAACTGCAGAGATATCGAGAAAAGTGCGGTTGTTATTATTTTATGGATTTCAGCGCTTTATCAGACTACATTACCCTCACCAACCGTGAGCATCCCACATCCTTTTACTGGTCTGGGGTGTCGTAAAAACTGATGTAATTGCGGGATAGGAGTAAGATCAGGGGTGCAGTCAGCATTTTCTTGAGGTAGTGATGGAGTTTAGTGAGAAGGCATCACATGGATCTTAACCTTTTGTCAAGGGTTATCTGTGATAAAAAAGACACCTTAAAATACAGATATTAGAGGGTTCCCAGGACCATGTTTACCACTCTAGTTTCACTCGTAGACAGGATTGGATAAGGATGAAAAGACGCCATATAGGGACAACCACCAGCCTTTACTTTGGGGCACTCTCATTAAGATCGAGTTGTTTACCGTTCTCCCTCCCTTTTTCAGCACGTTGCCAATGATTTATTTAACACGCGCTCGGGTGGAAGGTCAAATTGACCACCCCAAAAGTGTTTTTCCGGAATGGTTTCCGAACAGCGCGGCGTAGCCGTGCCAAATTTGACATAGCTGTAGAAAACTGAATCATGGATCGTCTGGCATAAACAAAATTTAGATGTACCTCGTAAGGTCGCCGACCTCTGGCAGGTCAAAGTCAGGCCATGTTTTCAGCGAATGCTATTTCTCGGGAATCGTTCAATCTGATGGAACAGCTGAATGTTAGACGAAGCCATACATCACTGAGATAATTTCTTAGGCAACACAACAATTGAATAAGCGCATACCATTTACTTGGGGTCAGGTATAAAGGTCAGACCAAGGTCAAAACCAACCTGATTTATGACACTAGGGCTTGCTATGACTCTAGGGCTATGACTTTAGGGCTTGCTTTATGGGGTGGCTTCTGGTGCTCATTTCAAAATGAGTGATAACAGGAACTGCATTATACATCTATGATAGACTTTTTTTAGTTCAGAATTGGTCACTGACTTAAAATGGCCCGGGTAAGAATTTTGCTTTTAAGAACACACTGTCTAACGTTATCTTTGCCGCTTACTCAAATGCAAAACTCGAAGCAAGTTTGTATAACTTTGATCACGATGACTTCCAAAAGGTCAAGCAAGGTCAATGACCTTAAATGAGCGTGCGATCTTTTGCTTAGAATAGTTATCTAAATTCAGGGGGCTCTTTGGAGACCAACCTCGAATTTGACCTTGTTTGACCTTACTTGACCCAAAGGTCACGACCTAAGAACCTCAAAATTTGACTAAGCGAGTTCATGTACAGGTCGATACACCTTGTGTATTTGGTGTCTCTAACTCGTTTAGTTACTGAGATCTTAGGGAGTCAAGGTGACACCCACCCGAGCGAAGGGTATCTATCCAACCGGCCACCCGAGCGCGTGTTAAACATAAGCAGAACTATAGCTGTCAATCCCACCGCGGTTGAAACAGAGTACAGAAGAAAACAGTCGTAGCTGAAAGATAATGTAGTTGGAGTGAATAGACATACAGGAGTATTGCATGTGTTGGTGTAGCACGTGTTGCATGTGCTGTTGTGTTGTATTGCAAGTGTGTATTTAGATCAAGCTTACATTCAGATTCAGCAAGTTTTTTTCACACCTCAGTGCGCCACAGATGCTGCTCCATATTTGTGCCAGCATAAGCTGGTTTCGACCGCGAGGTTTCGTTCGGGGCAGCCAATGCCATTGATCGCACCGCTCTTCTCTGACGCACTACACCTGATGCTCATCGCATGAGGGCCTTAGAACGTTGGCGCGCGGTGCAAATCGATATCGCCGCATTGTGCGCATTCATGAAATCATCGACGTTTCTGAAGCGGAGGCTTAACAGCATACGTGCGATTAATTGCCCATTGTCCGTGCCTTCACTTGGCTTTTGACCATAAACGAATGGCACGTTCGAAACGTCATCGTCGTCAAAAGGCACTTGGCACACTTGACGCCAGCTGTGCGAGCACACAGTGGTGCAGACCATGGGAACGGGGATGACTGGCGGCCGTAACGACGCTGTCATTGAGCCGGCTCGCGATGGCGGCTCATTCGATAAACCATTCAACCTGCCCGGCCGAATGGCACGGGGGGAGGCGTCAAGGGGCAGTCGGTCTCGTGCGGTGCAGCCATGCGTAGCAGCTCGCCTCCACTGGCAGGGTTTCTCATGAGCCTGCTGCTGGTGCCGGCGGCGGCAGCGGCAGCCGCGGAACCCGATAAAACCTTGAGAAATCAGCTTAGCTGTCTGATGGAGTCTGCGCAGTAAATGTGGCAATACTGCGGGCGAGTTCATATAGACTCCGCTTGCCGGTACGTGCCGTTTTTGTCGATTAGCCCGACTTGAGCAAATTTTTTGAAGCTCACATAGACGTATCATTCCACAGGTTCTGAAATACTGCTACGCTACGCCTCCTCTTGTAGCTCTCTTGTTTTACTTGCCGTTGTAAATAAGTCAGTATTTTACGATCTTTTCGCGGTGCAGTTCAGAATGACCGGCCGTTTTCGAACGGCCATTTTGTTGTCGGAGCAGCTTTCTGACTCAAAGGCGACCTTGACATTGAATCACGCAGCTTAAAAGCGCGCGAGCCTTGAATCCGTGCCCGGATGGTCGGTTGAATGGGACACGCTGGATGGGTGGTAGGGGAAGGGGAAGTAGGGGATCAATCTGCAGCCCCGGATATTACAAAGTAAGAGAGCTCGTCGCCAAAGTTTAAGGGCTGCTGGGCATGAATGCTGACTTTTTTCGTGGTGTTTTAAGAGCCCTTGAGCGTGAGCTTCGGGTCAAATGCGGTAAAATGTCAATCGCGTTAGCCGAGTCCGAGTCCGTCGAAGTGTCCTCGGACATCATCACGCAACTAGTTTTAATCTAGATACGTTTTCCAAGCAAAAGGGCATTTAGGGGCGATTTCAGCTCAGTTTACCCTCTATGACATTTAGTGTTAAGACACAAAAAATCGGGGTGATTTTAGCACATGAATCTAAAACTTGTGTCACAAACCAGCAATGGCGACAGGTTTGTTACAGAAAGAAAGAACAGGATCACTCTAGGTTATTAAGCTGCCCTGACCTTCAGAAAGTCAAACACAGAAATCCTCTTCTGCCTTTTAGTCAAGGAGTTTGAAAATGACGTCAAAAACTACAATAAACAAGCTCTCCGATAAAGACTGCTTAGCTTTTACCTTCATGTGAACCTCGTACGCGACACTAGTGAACAAAATTAGTTGTAGTCCTAAAATTTATTGTCTAGTTGTCTAAGAAACCTTCTCAAAGTTTGATGCCTTCGTCTGAAAAGCTTCTCTTATAAGCAACTGTCTTTGCTGAGAACCGTGACCTAACTTGGACCCACTTCAGGAAAGGGACAGTTAAAGGCAGAAGTGCCTTCATTTGTGCACCACAAGATTGGCTATTCAAGTTCTATAGTTTTACAAGGCTTTGTGCCGCCACGTCGCATCACTCGGAGCCGACCGTTCAGTACTTCCAGTACTGAACAGTCGGCTCCGTGTCGGCCTGGGCCTGAGGGTTCATTTTTCAAGCAGGGACAGGGAAGGCTGGGGCCCGCGTCTTAATTGGTCTGGGCCTCTAGGTGATTTAGGGGCCCTCGTCTTGTCCAACAGCTCAGTGTTTTAACAGGGGTCCTGTGTTGGCGAGGGGCTCCTAATCGGTCACGGGCAGTGTCCGGAGGTGCCCGGTGGGCCCTTCGCGACCAACGATCAAGGGCTCCGATTGGAAGGCTGAAAGGCTCACTGGGCTCACAGGGCTGAATACAGGTCATATAAGGATCCCGGACCGCTGGGCGATGACCTCAAATGTCTTCAGAGGGCCTCCTGCACCACGAATTCCATTGGATGAATAAAGCTTTCCATCCCTTTGAAGGTCGTGAGTTACAAATCGGGCTCACAGATCCGCGATTCTTCATAGCCCCCACCCCCGAAATCGGCAGGATAGTACACGTGAACGCCAGGTAGCGGCTCGAAGCGTTACATAGAAATATATTAATCTTTGCGTAGTCATGCAACAAAGAGGTGCCCTTGGTCTGGCTTCCCAGCTGCCTGACGAGCGCCAGGGAGCACACAATCTCCCACCACATGAGGTGCTCAACTGGCATTCGGTCGGAGTATCGAAAGAACGGGCACCGAACTGAATCGGGTGCTCACCGGAGACTGGCAAGTCGCTCCCCTGATAGCTGGAGGCGGCACGTGCACACGTGACCCCCCCCCCCCCCCCCACCCGGACTGCGGCGGTAACCAGCCGCCAAAGCTGTAGACACCCAGCACGCGCTGTCCGTGGCGCTTGCCGGCAGCCGAGAAAGTAACGCTGCACCTCAGCAGCCTTCGGTTGCACCAGTGTTCGCACCACCAGTTGCACCTTTGGTGGCGTCGACGCGAGTCAGCCGACGGCTGACGGCGAAACTCCGCTCCATGCACGGCTGGTGCGTGGCGGTCGGGCCCCTCCGCCGCCGCATCCACGCCCAACGATGTCACTTAGCTCGTAGCCAGCAACGCACTCCTTAAACAACAAAGTATCACGGCGACGCACACTAATTTTCAGGGATTGAGTCATTTAATATGGCAGCCATCTTTCTTCGCTCATGTAAAATATGACGCAAGAGGCACAAATATCGGGGCAAAATTCATCCGTGTATTGAGTAGATAATCAAGTCCAAAATCATTCTTACCAGACTACCTGCAATGTCGAGGCAACCATCAAATGACACGGCAGGCATGCACTTACCTTAAAACTGGTGACATATCAACGTGCATGCAACTATGTGGTTTGTGCACTGAAAACGATGACCTTTGTCTTGAACAAAACAAACATCCTCACCACGCCAATGCAACCGAGTTGCCAGCACTTATGTCAAGAGCTCTACTGCCGCCTTGCACCCAAACCAATCAACTCTACGACATAAATCTCAGCTAGTCACTGTCGCACTCCACGCTGTTGACTCCGACCCTCCTTCTCCAGTACGTAGGGACCAGCTACGCTCCGAGGCGATCCGGCAGCGCTTCACCCAGGTTCAAATCCCCAAATTATGAAGCGTACCGGCCCCGAACTGAAACCTGCGGCGCCCAACCAGAACCGAGCGAGGCCGACTGGGCTCCGGGCGACGTGATCCCGCACCGAGACACTACGGTCTATTTTCGTGGGTGAAAATGGTCTCGCACTACACTGGTGTCGAGCCAGCTACGCTCCCGCGCTCCTGTCCGACTGCCCCCGCCGATGGGTATGTACACAGAATGAGTCAGACCACGCACGCTCGCACACCTACTGTCTGAGCAGGACTACAGCCCCGGCGAGAGATCGCCTCGGTGAACATATCCAAATCGGTCGCTTCGAGGACATTCTCACAAATTTCCCGACGCGCTGCATAAAACACGAGGTGCCGAACCCATTGACCTGAGAAAAGTGGCTTCCTTATGCGTGACCGGGCGACAAGTTCGTTATTACGGACTCCATAGGAACGGTGTTTGAACTCCAGTACGCAGCAATGTCAGTTTCACCCCACTGTGAGCCCAACATAGGCAGTAAGCCATTAATTTGGCAACGCGTAGTTCCTTAGCCAAAGACGGCGCATCGTCACGCGCGCGCACACACACACACACACGCATTCCGGCGCTGCGTCGCCACGACCCGGTCCGCACGCGCTCTAGCCAGAGCTTCAGCGTGGACGTAACCACGCCGCCGATGAGCCCTATCTAAAGCCCTCCTGTGGATGAATGTACAGATGAGTGGGCGAGCGGTCCGGATGAAGACGGCCGCGCCGCCGCCGCCGGCGCTCAGTACACGCCCGGCACGAGGCGGTGGCGCACGCGGTCCACGTAGCGGTCCCACGCGGCGCCGTACTTGCGCTGGCAGTGAGCGTCCAGCTTGCGCGTCTGCAGCGTCGCGGTGACGACGGCGAACAGCGGCATCAGCCAGGCCAGGCCGTGCTGGAAGCCTGCCGGCACGACGGGACGCTTGTCAGACGGAATGCCGCCATTCGTAGGTGCACGAGTGACGGCGGCGGCCGGTGGAACACACTGGCATTGGGGATGGTTGCGATGACCAGGGAGAACCGAGTTCTGCATGCACTGGTGTCCAAACGACGCTAGGGACACATCAAATGGAGAGAAACGTGGGCGGTTGGTACACTGAGCAGCGCGAGCGTGAGAGCTTCCTTTGAAACACACGGTTGTAGCTCTGTTCCGATCTAAACAAATCAGTTGGTTACATTGCGTTCCAGTACGTTACGTTAGTTCGCTACGTTCCAGTTCGTTACGTACGTTCCAGTTCGCTACGTTACATTCCAGTTCGTTACGTTACGTTCCAAATCGTTACATTCAGCTCAGCTCGTCAGTTCACTACGTTTAAAAGCGACAGCAATCTCGATCGAAGGCAACTCGTCTGCCGCTGAAAAGCGAGCACCCAGACCCGTAACCGGCAAGGCCGGGGCGCCGCCGCCGACACGCGGCCGCGCGCTTCCCGCCAGCAGAAGGACGGCGCGCTGCACGCCGGCCCAGCGCTGCCCGTACCCAGCGGCAGGCACATGGCAGTGACGATGATCAGGCCGCCCAGCCGGTTGGGGTGGCGCACCACGCCCCACCAGCCGGACACCAGCAGCTTCTTGCCCTTGGTGGTCGGGATGGTCTCCAGGTCTGCGGCGGAACACACGCCGGTCAGACGCGCCGCCGGAACGCAGGAGCGAGGCGCCCGTCCAGCCACGTCACGCGCAATACTGACGTTCAGACACACCATGAACAAGTTATCCAGGACTTGAGTTGATACCCATGGAACTATTTGACGACTTCTACACAAGCATATGTTTACACTGATGGCAACTGGAAAGCTTGGTGAAGTGGGGCCAGCCGGTGAACGAGACCAGTGGGAAAGGCCAACAAGCGGCGCCACAACAAACGCTTAACCATAACCGTCTTTTAGCACCCCATGTCTGGCCTTCTGTCTGGTTTGGTATCTAACTGTCTGGTATCTAACTAACTGGTTTCCATATCACTGGGCACAAATCGGGTTTGCGGTCCGCGCACTTTGGGCGAGCCCGATCGCCTCCGCCCGCCCGCACTCACGGGCCAGTGCCGGGTTGACGGGGTTCTTGCGAAACTCGTTCTTCTGGGAGTCGGAGGAGCGCTGGATCAGGTAGCCGACCATGAAGAGCACGCCGCTGCCGAGCAGGCCGTACCACGGCTGGGAGACCCTGCACACGGACCGACGCTATATCAGAGGGTGCGGCGGGAGGCCAGGCCGCCCAGACGCGGTGTTTGAACGGATATGCGGGAAAATAAACCATCGAGCATAGCAGAGCATCCCGCATTTCTGACTTACGTAGAAGCTCCATGAGCAGAGCTCTTCCAATTTCACGCACTATTCTCCCCATCTTTAATAAAGCGACGTGTGTGCACACGCCATGGATACCGCAGAAATATCAGCTAAACTGTAGTGACCACTTCGATCATTGGGGAAGTATACCCAAATTCCGTAGTCAAATCCAATGCCAAGCTCTAGGCAGAGCATCCGAAAGACAGAACAGCCAATGTCACACAAATTAACTCCTTTGTCAGTGATGCAAATCTCCAACTCTCCTTACCACAAAGCTCCACGGACATCACGTAGAAAACAGGGGTATGGTGCAAGTTTAACTAGTTTTGAGCATGACATCAACATATTGGTGGGGGTGGGCAGGGAGATTCATAGAGGGGAACAGCACAAACTGGCAAATGACGACATTTAACAGTAAGATGCGACTTTTTGAGGGTGCAGATGGAACAAAATACCCAAAACATGTCTAACACCATTGTTTTGCAAAACCACTGGTGAGCATCGACAAACACCCAGTGCCAGTCTTGCAAACAGAGGACAGGCAGCACAATATTTAGGTGACCAATCCAGTAGGTGAAAGCCATGGGAGCCGGGCACCTGGCTGCCAAATGTTGATCACCAGCAGCGCATCCCAGCGACACCAAGCTCCCACAGCCCCAGTCACTCACCCAGTGACCATGATGAAGCGGAGGTTGAAGGTCATGTAGAACGGCGCCGTGAGGAGCACAAGCAGCTGGCGCAGGCCGAGCCCCTCGTTCATGAAGCTGTAGGTGGTAAGCAGGTTGTCCTCGAACCACATACGGTCGAGACAGAGCGCGACCACCATGGCGGCGACGGTCACCAGTGTGGGCGACGACTGGCCGTGGCTGGCGCGCTCCGCCAGCGCCATCAGCACCGCCAGCAGTGCCGTCGCCACGCAGCAGCTGCGCACCACCAACAGCTTCAGGTCGACGCCCAGCAGGCGAGGCGAGAGCTCGCGCCCTTCCACCAGGTTGACCAGCAGCGAGTCGGTGTCGCCGGCCTGGTTGATGTCGAGCAGGTGAGCGCGGCGAGAGCGCAGGTGCAGCGCCAGCGCTAGCAGCACGCTGGTCAGCGTGGCCGACACCAGGAGCAGGCGCAGCTTCAGCAACACCGCAAGCACCGGGAAGCCGAGGTAGAAGGCGAGCAGGGCGCCGCTCAGCGTCAGCGTCAGCGAGACGAAGCCTGCAAGAACGGACGGCAGATGTCGCCTGCGTCAAACTACACGCGACAGAATTCTGAACTGTAGAGCAGCTAAGATGAACAAATTTTCGTTGGGGATAGAAGACAACTTACAGCACCGTTGGGTAGTGAAGTTTGCACATGTGCGATAGTACAATGGCGCAGTTGTCATCAAATGGCAAGAATCCCCCATCCACATCCCACCAGCTGGTTACACCCAGCCTTCAATCTAACGACTCAGGTCTTACTCGCGGCCGGCCGGCCAGCCCCCGCCACATCCGCACCCGCCCGGCACAGCCCGCGGTAACCCCTGCCGGCACGTACCGCCGCACCGGTAGCGCAGGAGACCCTGCTTGGAGATCTGGCCCTCGACGACGCGGCCCACCGGCAGCAGCGCCAGCAGCAGGTGGACCGCCAGCAGACCGAACACGTAGAGAAAGGCGACCGGGTCCAGCCAGGACTTGAGCGCGCGCGGCAGGTCCGGCAGCCGACCGATGCTGCAGTGCTTCTGCGAACCGCGGCGAGGACGCGTGACGGCGATGCCGGCGCCCACGGCCGACGGCGCGAAGCCCGATGGTGCTTTGTCGCACGTGGCGAAGCGCGTACTTACGAACAACATGTCTACATGTTTCCAAGAAATCCCACCAATATGGAACAGTGAGCCGATTTCAGTACTTGGCATCATCAAGAACCCCAAACGCCCAAAAAACTGCTTTCATCACGCATGAAAAGCATCATTGCAAAATCAGAGGCTGCTTTAAGTGTTACCACGGCGGCGAGCAAAGTTGTTCATTCAGAAACCACAGGTACTGAACACCAGCAGTGTCCTGTGCCCAATACAGTAAACAGTGCTGCCTCCCACTGCTCTATGCTGTGGCGGGTGCTCTCCTCTCCTGTTACCTTGTTGCAGGCAGACAGCAGGTAGAGCGGTATGAGCGCCAGCAGGAAGACTGCGGGCGAGAGCAGCACGCGACCCCAGGAGGCCGTGTTGGCCGCCTTCTTCAGCGGCTCGTCGTCGCCGTTCGGCTCCTTCAGCGTGTCACCTCCGGCCGCCGGGTCGATGCCCAGCTGGAGGGGGGGGGGGGGGGGGACAACGTCAGTAGACCAGTTTTTTCGCCCAGCGCGGAACACGAGATCGCGAAGGCTTAGCTTCGGTGCAGGAGCGGACTGCGTCACGACGGTCGTCCTCTGCTACGGCCACACATGTGCTCACAGGTCATACATCTACACTGCAGCCTGGTACATAACCACATTAGAAATCCGTATCCAAATGCCAACCTTATCCGCACGAGAGATCGGTACGGAGAAAGCATGCCATCGCTCTACTGCCACTTCACATAAGACTTCAGACTTCACACAAGTAAAGATGTCACTTCCGTCCCCCTCCCCCCCCCCGGCCCACCCACGCACAGCACGCACCTCCCTCAGCTTGCTGGCAATGCGGGCCGACTGGCGGGTGGCGCTCGACGGTGGCGCCACCTCAACAGTCGCCGCCGCCGCCGACGGAGCCGGCACCGACGCCGGCACCGGGCTGACGGCCGCCTCGGGCGCCGTGCGCGAGATGGGTCGGCGCGCCCGCGCTTCCGACCTCGGCGTGGACGTGAGCAGCACCGAAGACGCGGCGGCCGGCCGCTCCGACGGTGGCGTCACCGGCCTCAGAGCTGCGGCTGCCGGCGCGGCGCAGGTCGGGACTGGTCGCGGACTCCCGGAGCAGGCGCTGACGCTACATCGCTGGTCATGCACCAGACCAACTGGGAAGGCTTTGTTTGAGCTATCTAGTTACAAAATCTGGATATCTCCCGCCTAATTTTCCAGCATCGTTCTGTTCGACAAAATTCGCTGTTTCCATTCTAACTGGGCTGCAGAGTTCTGGTTTGAACCTTGGTGGATAAATGAGAAGTATCGCGATGTTGCAGCAGCTATCTCTGTGCTCCATGCTTAAGTCAACTTAAGTCAACTTTGTTGATTAATTGTAGCCATATCAGAGCACAAACTAAAAGGTAGCAATAAAAGGTGTCAGTTTTCTTTTGCTGCGTCACCTGGCAATATTTCTGGCATACACATTCCCATCACTAACGGCGAACACTGTAAGCAACAGCACACAAAAACAAGAAACTGCACTAAAGTATTCGGCGATATCACAAGTCTGACCAGACACAACCACACACACACTCTGTCAGCCAAGTCGGATTGTGCAACCGCGCCGGCGTCTCACGTTTCGGCTGGGGCGCAGGCGCGGCCACACGCGCCGGGGACCGCGGGCGGGTGACGCGGGCGGGCGACCTGCTTCGCGGCAGCGGCGGCGGCGACGGCTTGCTGACTCTCGCCGGTGACTTGCTGGCTCTCGCCGGTGACTTGCTGACCCTCGCCGGCGACTTGCTGACACGCGCTGGTGAGCGGGCGCCACGCGCCGGCGACTTGCGTCCGCGACTACGCGATCGCGAGCGCGCCGGCGACTTCTTGACAGCCTGCGGCAGTGCGGGCTAGTGGACATGGATTTGATGGGTTGATAGGTGTTGCACTGGCATGCACAAAGCTACAAAAAAATAAAGTAGTGCTACACCTATAAGTTTCTTGCACCAAGAAACCAGATCATGCATGGTTGGTGTGCAGAAAACATCTTGAAAATGATCACAAATCTATAATTTTCTACAGCATACTGCCATACCCTGCATCAAGAATGCACAGCAATGATCCTGCAACAGCAGATCTCAAGTTCATGAACTTCTATGATGCAAATATGGGCTTTTCATTGATAGCACTAAGTATAAGATGTTTACATAGATATCCAAGGATGTAGATAAACAGACATGAACATGATATCAACCAATGCCAAAATATTCAACTAACACAAGTCATCCCACAATAACAAATGATGTGCATATTATGACTGAAACAAAGGTAATACTCACGCCAGCTCTGCCACGAGATGGTGTACGGCCCCTTGTAGGCATCTGAGAACAAAATGATAACTTAGGCACTGGCTCAGCAACAGAAATGGCCAGGCAAAAGGTAAAGGCAAGACTTCTCATGCCTGTTTTTGAGATTGTTGTATGGGAGGAAAGGATCCAGGAACTTTGGATACTCTCCAGACTTTAAATAAACTGTACCTTGGAACTCTCCAGACTTAAAGCAAAAGGCAGAGCCAATGATTTAATAGCCAGCTGAATTAATACACAGAACTTGCAGGCCTGTGCAATTTCCCATATCAACAGAAGACAACTTGCTTTATTTATTGCACTGATAATCAACATTGCTATACCATTTTGGGCTTCTGTTTGACTGCATGCTGCTTGAGTTGACACTTAACACCAGGGCAAGCAAACTGTATTAAGTCATGGTCAAACTGATTCATATAGAAATGTCTGAAGCGGTGTCAGAGTTCAGACAATTACACCAGCTTAATTACGAAACATAACAACTCACTGGATCCAGTGCCCCAGTGTGAGCCTCAGCCTCTTATGCATTGCACAAGCCTGCGGCCCCAGCACTGGATATTAGTCTTTAACACAATCTAGCCTAGCACTTTTTACTTGGGCTACACTTGCATCCTATTGCAAAGAGCTAAAGCAGTCATCAGTTCTGATTCTGATTTACAAGACATTGGGTTTGGTTTACAGCTTTGGTTCCAATATCAACCCAATTTTGACTAGGCCATGATGCCACCTCAAGATACCCTGATTACAGACATGATTCTGTTAAACCATTTCTGGTGCAACTAGAAAATGTATCTGCTGTTGTACAGGCTACAAAAACTTAAGTTGGAAGCATTTGGGTTATGGGAACATAGCATCTATTTTACTATTTGTTGCACACACCAGTTTTCTGAGCACTAATTTTGTTGCTCACATCAGGATTTCATTCCACCCACTGTTAGCTCCATTCCATATTACTAACCTCTATATTACAATTCATATGTTCCATCACATATTTTGTGAACCGATTCTCAAAACATACTTAATAATCAGACTGAGTTACATTCTGTGTTGTTTCCACTTTTCATGTCATATAATACTTTATACCCACAATTCTTCAATTCAATGTTCCCGCCAAGTTTGGATAATCTCACCAAGTCAAACCATATTTTGGTGAATGGAATGAGAAACCCAGCAAAGATGCAAGAGGTAAACCGTCCAAATGAAATCATCCAGTTGAATTCCACCGCCTCATTACGCTGAGCGCACAGAAATCCACCATCATTTCATAAAATTGCCGGCACTTCATTGAGCGAAGCGATGCGCGGCAGCCGCACTGACGAAGCGATCAGGTCAGCCCTAAACACGCAGGTACTTCAAATATCTGATAAATGACACGCGAAAAGATTAAACCACAATTTGACGCATCTCACATCATATACTTAGCACTAACCTTCACCGATGCGGATGCCTTTTCAACGTTGACCACCCCACGAACATAAACCTCGCGGCGCTACCAAGACAAATTCGGCGTCCGATGTCGCTGCCCGAGCGGCGTCGTTTTGAACCTCGCTTTCTGATTGGCCGAGAGCTTGTAATTGCCCGCCGGGAGCGTGCGTAAACAGAGACGTGAGATGCCTACGGCGCGAGTGGCGGGTGAAGTTCAGCATTGCTCTGGACCTTTATAAAAACAGCATGCGGTCATGCACTGTAGTTCAAATAGCACCACGTGTTTGAGACAGAGTACTCGAAAAATTCTAAGCATCTTTTGCGGGTGACCTGCTCAAAATAAGGCTTCTCCCACCTTCACATGAAACGCGAACTTTAATCCACACCAATGCAGCGCCATAAGGAGTGCGAAACCCCGACCGCCGCGAAACCGTAGCAAAAAAAGCATTAAGGTGCCTGGCGGGTATCAGCGGGTCCCGCGAAACGCATGCAATGATCAGGCACACCGGTGGTTATGCAATATCGATGAGACACGGGTCAAGAACAGCAGCCATAGGGCCCCAATAACTGGAGGTCCCCACGAACTGAGAGCAGAACGAAGTGCGCCCGCGACGCGCATCGCGTGCTTAGCGGGGAGGAATTGTCGAGACTGTAGTCTGCACTGATACATCCGTGACAGCAATGCCAGCAGACCAAGCCAAGAGGCATTTGCATACGATTTCTGACCAATCCGGCTCAGGCCGAAAACAACAGTGAACGCCTTAAACAGCAACGACCGTACCATGCAGGATTCCGGGTCGCTCCTGAGCACATGCATCAGCGCAACCGCACATACCTCAAATCGTCGGGCAGGCAAGGGGTGCGCGGGATGACTGACGCACGTCGGCCGGTTCAAACCATCGGGCCCCGACCGCGCGAGATGGGCGAGATAAACGGCGCGTTCAAGGATTCTGTGAACCGGATTTTCGCCGGGGTCGAATGGCTGGTAGCTCCGATTCATGCGTGCACGGCACACAAACACCAGCGACGGGCGAGAATTGTATTCACGATCCACATGGACGTAACAAACGACCAAAATGTGTGCATTAATCACCGCAAAACGCAGGTGTAATGAAAAGATGAATCTTGCGGGCACATTCAGGTGCGCGACCAACATCGAAGGCGTGCTCTAGCGACGGGCGCTGCTCCGGCCCACGCGCGCAGGCCCTCGAGAGCGGCGCCAACACCGCGCGTGCACGCAAGGGTATCGGGTATTGCAGCCACGAGAGCGCTGCACCCGAGCGCGGCGGGGCCCGTTGCACCTGGCGGCCCAGCGCGCGCGCGCGCACCCCGAGTGCGGCCGTCAACACACCAACAGTTATAAAAACGGAGCCCGGCGCGGGCCAGGCCAAGGGTGGAGGGGAGAGCGCCGCCGTGCCCCGGCCCGTTGGCAAGGGTGCGTGAAAGGACACGCCTGGAAGCGTCGTATATGGATATGCTGGATTAGAGCGAGAGGCCTCGCTGTCAAGCTCAACACGATGGCAACACCATCTCGGACGAACCACTAGGTGGCGCCAGCGACGGACACGGGTTTGACGGCACCGGGCAACGTCACGCCGCCCACAATAAGTGCGGACCCCCGCCGCAGTAACGCTAAAAGTAGCAAAAGCCATCTACAACATTACGGCGGCCGCGCCAGTATCGCCGCTCGACGCATCATAAGCTAGGAGGGCCGCAGTCGCGCGCCACACTCGTCACAAGCCTTGCCTGACCCGTCCGGGAGCTGGCCGGCGCTTTGTACCCCTCGACGGAGGACGCCGGCGCCCCGCGGCTCCGCGACGTTCCACACACCACAGTTGCTTCACAAGCCTTGCAGTACCCGCCTCCGTTCTTGCATGATGATCTTGCTTCGCACAGCCGTTTCCATCGCGCGTCTTTCGTAAGCGCATCCACGCCTCTTTTGCGCTGCGCATCGCACCGTGTAGCTTAACCAGCCTGTTAAGCTCGCCGAACACCATCCAGTGCAGACCCTTCCTAAAGCTCTCACACCGTTCACGTTTTCCGAGCCCGCCCGAGTCAACCCCTCACCCGCTGCCTCGGCTCCCCCTCCCCCCCCCCCTCTCCTCCGCTGGCCGGGACCTGCTCTCCGCCTGTGACCTGACCGAGTCATGCCCGAGATCAGCCTGGTCCCGCCAGGAGCCGAGCCGCTCCCCCGGTCTCGCCCGCCGCCAGGAGGCCCGCAGCGCCCCGCCGCCGGCTCTCGCCGCACGCACGCGCGCACACAAACAGAGATCATCCGTAGGCGCTGGCCCCCGGCACCGGCCGCTCACTTCTTGCTCAGCTGGTTGAGGAACTCCAGCTCGCTGATGGTATTGCGCGTAAAGCTGTCCATCTGTGCGTCGCTGCGCTCCTCGGCCGGCGGCGGGCGCGGCGGCGGCGGCGGCACGTCCAGGAAGCTCAAGCTGGCCTGACAGGTTGCTGCTGAGGTGGCCCTCCACCGCCTGCACGTTGGCCTCCGACTCGGCCGGGAAGCTCAGCATGCTCAGCTCGGCCGAGTTGATCTGGCTCAGGTCGAGCTCGATGCCGCCGGCCGACGCCACCGGCCGCTGCGTGTCCATGTCGAGCAGCTGGTGCGGCCCGGCCGGCGCGGCGGCCGCCAGCTGGGGCGAGCGGTGGCCGCGCGGCGCCGGCCCGCCGCCGCCGCCGTACAGCGCGTAACCGGGCCGCGTCCCGTCCGGCGACCGCTGGTAGTGCGCCGCCTGCAGCTCAAACGGCGTCGGCTGCCGCACAATCCCGCCGCCCGACATGCCGCCCGGCGAGACGAGGTCGGCCGCCGGCGCGTACATCGACTCCGACGGCGGGTCTGCAACGGCACCGACGCGTCAGTCGACGGGCGGCGGCCGGCGGCCGGCGGCCGGAGGTGACGTGGCGCCGTGTGATCAAGGGCGGGCCTTAAGTCAGCAGTCATATCGTCGAGAGGATGCACCCTGTACTTTGATGCAATCATGAGTCTGTGCAATAGCTCGAATAACATACGTCACATGCCATGCCGGCATGTACCACGCCAGGAGGTGGACAGTAACATGTGCTGCAACACATGCATTCATATGCTAACTTACACGACGATTCCTACCTTAGTAATCAGTCATGAAGGGAGGAAGCGGGTCATGCTGCATCAAAATGACCAAAAGACACGAGCTTGCATATAACAACTTTAGCAATCGGAGTTCACAATGCCTTCAGGCAAAACAAAGAAAGCTAAGGGTTTGCGTGTAACAAGATAGCAAGCGTAGACAACCAATGCTGTTACCCTTCTGAACTGAAACGGACCGAGAGACGCCGCTTGTTGCGAGCCCAGTCCTGCTGCACCCCGAGTCAGGACAACTCAGCGACTCTTGGCCGCTCGCACTCACCAACTGGCTCCGGCTTGATGTGTCGCAGCCGGCCGCGAGAGGCCACCTTCAGTTTGGGCCGCGCGCCGCCGCCCTCGAAGCCGTGTCCGCCTGCGACCGAGCGCCAGCTGGTCAGCACTGTTAGTTCGCCGCTCACACAGTACACGGCACGCACGAGGCACCACCGCGCCGGGCGCCCGGCGACGCGGGGCTCCCCTCACGTGGCTATCAATGTTATGAAAGCCGAGGATCTCACTGACAGAGAGTCGCATGCTGTTAGCGACGTGGGCCACTCGCGATAACAGCTTGATACACCAGACCGCAGATAGTGTTGCCTCATGCTAACAGCTGGCACAGATGCACACCACTCGTCGCTGCGAGATTGCGACAGAGGCGGCGACGCCTCCACCCAAACATGGCGCAACCTGGCATCCGGCTTGCCGGCAGATACAGCTCGCACTGGCGTCACCGCCACAAACACCAGCCGGCTGCCGGCCGGCCAGCACGACCACGGCGTCACGGGCGGCGGCGGCGGCGGCGGCGGGCTTCCCCGTGACGTGTTGTGATGCGCCGGCCGGCCGCCGCCGCCGAAGAGGCGGGAGCGGCCCGGGCGCCTCCGCGCCACGCGACCGCAACCGGAGGCGGCGGCTCACACCGGCGGGGATTTCCAGCCGACCGGGCCGGCCGGCGGAAGGCCGGCCCGCTAACGGATCGGTCGCGGGGCCGGTCTGGGGAGGCCGGTCATCCCCGCCCCCCGCCCCCCTGAGCGCGCGAGCACGCCCGCCCCCGCCCCTGCCGGTCCGCCCGGACCGGTCCGGCGGCGGCGCTCGCCGGGCCCAAGGCGCCGGCCCGCCGGTGGCGCCGCCTCGTGAGGACGCCCGCGGTCGGCGCCGGGAAGGATACTCACCGCCGTCCTCGTCGCCGATGTTCTCGGCGAGGAAGCGGTGCAGCCGGTCCGAGTTCCGGGCCAGCTTCCTCTTCTTCTCCTCGATCCCGTCTGCGGGGAAGAGGGCGGGAGAGTAAGCCGCTGGCACCAGACATCACGCTGGGATTCCCGAGCGCTTCGGAGCCACGCTCGTACAACCGGTGCCGTGTCCCGTAACGTCGGCCAGACCGCAGGACTTTCTCAGCAGCGGATTGCAACGCTCCGGGTTCAACAGGGCCGCCACCGCTCGGCAGTGCTGCAGCCGCCAAAGCCGTTCGTTGCCAAGCAACGCCCTACATCTCCAGGTGCCATCGCGTCCGTCTGGGGACGGCCCGCAGGCAAGCGCTCGGCCGTCAGGTGTTCAGTGTAACCTGCGAGCACCCCAGCTGCTGCAGCCGAGCAAACGGCACACATTCACCGATACTATCTCGCCACAACTCCTCGGGCACAGAGCGCAGTTCAATCACGGCTGCCGACCGCGCAATGCTGGACACTGCATGGGCCTGCACGGAAAACATTAGTCTGTAACGCCGCCCGTGAGACCCAGCGTGCGGCGCCTCCAGTCGGGGCGCTCAGCTGGCGGGCCGGCCGGCGGCCGCTCTCACCGGTCTCGACGGGCGTCAGCGTGAAGGCGCGCGGGTCGCTGTACTGCTTGTCGGAGGGTCGCCGCAGCTGGATCTGCACCCGCACCGGCGTGTCGCACTGCAACACGGCCACGTGAGCATGCGCCGACGCTACAGTGACTGCACACGTGGCAGCGGCTCCGTGCTTAACCGGAGGAGGGTCCCGGGCCTGAGGCTGTGTTTCGGCTCGCGCCCGGGGGAAAGGCCGAGGAGACGTGACAGGCACGCGACCGGACTGCTGCAGCCCCGCCGAAAGGCACCCAGCTCTCAGCTCAAAGTATGAGGCTCAACACCGCGCGGACGTCAGACGCATTCTCGACGAGCCTCGCACTCGCGCGAGGCCGCCTGGACGGCAGGAAAAGAGACCACGCCGCCGGACGACAGGCAACCGTACCAAGTGCACGAGCAGCGCCGTCCCCCGATAACCCACATAGGGCAGCGAATGGACCCACACGCTGACGGGGATAGCCTGCAGCGCTGCCCGGCTCCTCGGTGTCGGCAAAGGTGGGCGGCGGGAGCCGGAGCTTTTCGGGGACGCGCGTACTCAAAACATAAAAAAAATAAAACGCACACGACAGGTGACAATCGTATGCAGTGATCCCGGCCTCAAGTCTCATCAGGGCATCATACTGTGAAGAAAACGTCCAGCCATACAGCCCGCTGTCGAAATGGCCCGCGGCTGGAGAAAGCCTCTAGACTCTGGCCAGAGATGGCAGCACCCGCGACTCACCTCCGGGTTCACGTAGCGCGGCGTTTTGAAGCAGATGGCCACCTGCTTGTGCACGTCGGCAGGCAGAAACTCGCCGAACGCTTCCCAGCAGAGCCGGTTGTCCCGCACCTCGAAGAACCGCACCTCGATGTCGTCTGCGGAGAGGTCCCGGGTTACAGTCGGCCGGCACAAGCGAGGTCACGACTGAGGGAGGAGCAGACCTCTCAGCAGACCTCTCGCCTGGCGCGTGGTATTGACGACTGTTCCGCCGCGACCGGGGTCTCGCACGGAAGCGAACCGAACTGAGAGACAACACGCAAACGGACGGGAGCTTCCCGTGGGCAAACCACAGCCGACTGAGATCAGTGAGCCGCGACCCGCGCACGACGCACGCGGATCAGCACACCACACAACAACACTGGGCATCATAACCGGTAAGGTTCCACAGTGGCATTATACTGGCCCAGCCAATGCCACCTATTTACTAGGACGTGATGTTTTCCGATGGACGTGATACACATACGACTCAGAACGTGCAGCGCGACACATGATGGGATGAAAACAAACTAGTAGCACAAGAAACCTTCGTTCAGAACCGGAGAAGCCAAAGATAGGACGGAGAGGATGATGTTGCATTGCTTTCACAGGCATGAAACACCACGTCATATTTTACAAAGCACCAAAATTACGCTGCACAAAACACGGGCTATAGCGCTGACCCGGCCCGGCCACAAACGCCGCGGCCGCCACCGCCGAGGTCACCGGGCGCCGAGTGGCGCCCCCCCCCCCTCGTCCCAGTCCCGCCGCTAAGCCCCGCCAGCCAGGGACGCTTCGAGCAGCCCCAGGTGCGACCGAGCACGCCCAGTCCTTCAGGCCTGGTCTCTGGGTCACCGGCGCGGCGGCACTCGGAACGCGCCAGCGCCGGGTGGGCGCTGGAGCCCGCCCCGCCGCGGGTTGGTCCGTGCCGCCACCCAGCACGGCGCCGGACTGCCCGCCGCCGCTGCTTCCTCGGCGCCGCAACAGGCGGCGCTACCGGCGCTGGGTGCCCGGCGGGGATTACGGACGGTTGACGCTGAGGAAGGCGGACAGGACGAGCACGGCCGGCCGCTGCGCTGCTGCTGCGGACTGGAAGGCGTCCGCCAGCGGGACGCGGAGCCGGCCGCGCACAGCTCAGACCAGGAAGGGTTCGGGTCCCGTTTGGAATGTCCGCGAAGTGCGGTCACGGCTTGCGACTGACCTCAGCTCAGCGGCCACGGCTACCACAGCCATATGACACGCCGGAGGTCCGTGTCGGAGTCCTATGCTTTGGTTAACGACCTCATAATCGTCCTCAAACCGGTGGGGACACATAATTAGTGCACGAATACGTTCCACAACTCCCCAGCGCAGAGCCCGTCGTTGAGTTGACTGTCCTGGCATTTTGAGATTGGGCACTTGGCGGCGGGAGCCCTAGTCTATTTGGCAAATGCTGGAATCATTTTCGTTCATATTTGAGACGTGAGTGCTAGCTGCTGCTTACCAGCCAGACCCCAGTAGCCTGCCAGGCACAGTGATGACTTGGGACAAGGCAGCCTTCGAGCCAATTGCGTGTCTCCGTCTGCTGCTAGCCGGCTTAACAGTGTCTTTGTCACAAGATCCCAACACCCCTAAAACCCAACTAAAATACCTGAGCGTCTCAATATTTTCATGGCCGGGGACAGGTTTCTAAACGGATCTCAAACCCAGTCGGGCTGGGACACTATTCAGGGACGAGCGTCCCTTTCTCCATCGGGACGGTGGGTTTGATGGCAACACAGCCGCTTTGCAGGTGGCCAGACGTCCCACTCCCGAACGTCCCCGAGACGACGGCGGCGTCCGTCGGCGCAAGGCGTGATGGACACACGTCCGGTCTAGGGAACCCACGCCCAGCCACAGTCTCAGAAAGAGGCGGCGAGCGCGTGTCGAACCGAGAACGCGTGCAGAGCGGAGAGCGCGTGTAGAGCGGAGCGCGCGTGTAGGGCGGAGAACGCGTGCAGGGCGCCGAGCGCGTGCAGAGCGGAGAGCGCGTGTAGGGCGGAGAGCGCGTGCAGGGCGGAGAGCGCGTGTAAAGCGGAGGGAGCGTGTATGGCGGAGAGCGCGTGCAGGGCGCAGAGCGCGTGTAGGGCGGAGAGCGCGCGTAAGGCGGAGAGTGCGTGTAGGACGGAGAGCGCGTGTAGGGCGGAGCGCGTGCACGGCGAAGAGCGCGTGCAGGGCGTGGAGCGCTCACCTTTGGTCACTTTGTCGCACAGTAATATGATGTCCCTGCCGCCAGCCACCGACGCCGAACAGTCAGACATTTTGTATATGATCAGGTCACACATCGACTCTGAAACGGTGACGTCCGAGTCAGCTCTAGCCTGCGCGTCGACTCCAAAACGGTCAGGCTCAGTCCGCACTAGCTGCACATGGACTCTGAAACGGTCACGCCCTGTCGCATTCACACATCATGACCGCAGTGCTCGCCGCGCCGCAAAATAGCATACAAACCAAATCTGACTAGTCGCAGGCAATTCCGACTCATTCAAACACGGTCTGCAAAGTCAAAAGTTCTCCAGACAGCGAGAAACCCTCCCGTCATAATCACCTCCCCACCCGGCCGTGGCGCATTCTATCCGCCCTGCGCGCGCGACGGCCGCCGCTCCCAGCGGCGTGCCGCACGGAGCGCCCGCAGCCGCGGCGGACGCCGTCACTCACTCTTGTCGTAGATGGGGTCGGACACGACCGGCCGCAGCGGCACCACGAACTTGCCCGGCTCGCGGCCCTCGACGAACACTTGGAAGCAGAGCCGCACCGTGTTCAGGTCGATGGAGGTCGGCTGCAGCCGGTGCTCGAAGCCGGCTGCAACGGGGGCCGCGCGCGCCGTCAGCGACGCGGCGTTCGCGCGCGGGTGCGACGGTAGCAGCGCGACATCGTGAAATTAGCACGGTGAGGAAACGGAGCATTGGGTCCACTAGATACACAGAGGTGGTCGTTTTACGTCCCACTTTTGAAGAAGGCTTTGCTGAAGCATTGAGAGCCGAAACAAGTCATGAGTCCAGGGAGCCAGCTAGGTCCCACACAAATATACGAAGCTGCATCTATTATCTGGGGTGGCATAGGCGTTAGTGGAACCATCGACGGACAACAGCGACGTCCCACGTTGCAGGCATACACCTCGGCTCCGAACCGGTCGAGGCGTCGTAGTATTCAGACCGCGGGGAGAGAGCGGGGTGTCGGGGACGCGCTTCTCCGCTCTGTCCGGTCCGCTCCCGCCCAGCGCCCGCCCAGCGGAGCAGCATCCCCACTAGCAGAGCCGCATCCCGACCAGCGGGGGAGCATCCCGACCAGCGGACCGCCATCCCGACCAGCGGGGGAACATCCCGACCAGCGGAGCGACATTCCGACCAGCGGGGGAACATCTCGACCAGCGGAGCGCCATCCCGACCAGCGGAGCGTCATCCCGACCAGCAGGGGAACATCCCGACCAGCGGAGCGACATTCCGACCAGCGAAGACGGAGGAGCCCGAACCGCTACTAGCACGGCAGTCCCGCCCGAAACGAAGTATCGCGCTCTTCCCGTCCGTCGTCCAGCTGTCTGCGCGCTATTCCGTACTGAACTGGAGCGCCTCCACACTATTCAGAGCTGAACTGGAGGGGCGTGCGAGCGGGCAGCTACTCTGAGCTGGGCCGGAGCCATACCAAACCAGCCGCTAGCTGAGATCCCCCACACCATCAGCGGCGACTCTCCGACGGAGGCGAGATGTGGCCGGCACGGACACCGTCGACGTCGAAACAGCAGAAACTTAGCCGACCATCACAGTAGGGCGATGACCTCATCCAGAACGGCGGAACCCCACCGGCCGCGGCCTGCGCGGAGCCGTCTGCTGGACACGCTGGTCAAACGTCAGCTGAGTTCGCCAGCGCACCCGAAAAGAAAGCGCTCCGATCAGGGACGAGCCGGTGGCGTGCGAGGCCAACGTGTCAGCCGTCGTCCAACCGAGGCCACAGGGAGTCCCCCAGGTCGCCGAAGCGGTACGGGTCAGCCCGACGCGTGGCCGCTCGCCCTTGCCCACCGGTGGCCCGGTCCGGCCCGGTGGACGGCTCGCGCGCGCGCCCCGCCCAGTCATGGCGCGCCGCCGTCGGCGCCGTGGGGCGGCCGTGCTCGCGAGCAGGCGAGCGTGTCCAGGACCGCCGCCATCGCGACGTGCCCCAGCGGCGGCGCCAGCGGCCGGCACGGACAGGACAGAGCCGGGCCAGGACATGGCACAATTCTGATCACATGGAGCCCACGTGCAGTCCACCGGACAGCGCCAGCTGTGCCGCGCGCGAGCGGGCCCGCTAGCGCCGCCACAGAGTCGACGGCAGGGCGAGGCCCGGAGCAGGGCGAGGCCCTGGAGCCGGGCGGGCCGGCCGGCGCTGGCCGCCCTTCTCAGAACCCCTCGCCGGTGGGGGCCGGAAAACCTCAGGGCTCACTGTGACAATGGAGCCAGGAGTCCCCGCTATCGCAGGCGCGGTCGGCGACGCCGCGAGCCGCGGCGGCTATCAGCGGCCGAGCGGCGCCAGCACGGGCGCTGCTGGCTGGCGAGACAAGATACAGTCACAGCGCCGGGTGTCGCAACGGAGCCGATGCTGATGGCACGACGCTGATACGTGGCGACACATACCTAAGGAGTAGCCACGGTGCGGTTCAGCGTCTTTCGGAAATGCTAGCCGTGCTTCAAACCAGTGAAAGTGAAAAAAAAACGGCAGTGAAAACGGCTGGGACAAGCGATCACGGCGACCTCGAGCTAACAGTCCGGGATGAGCCGTAGCGAGTGAACTTAAAAGCGTGCAGACCTTTTCGAATCATGAACACTTATTCCGAGAAAAGTGCCCGCTTCACGTAATCAGCTTCTTCATGTGCTGTGCGGTTAGAGCCATGACGCATGCTTTGATCTCATTGGAGAACAGCACGGCAAACGTCGCGAGTCACATCGCATGCTGTCGACCTGAAGAACGCTCGGAGCCCGCCCGAACGACGCCGCCGCACCCGCCCGCGGGAGCCGATCCCCCTCCCGCGCCGAGCCCCTCCCCCCTCCCCCCTCACCAGCCGCGCCACTCACTCTGGAAGGGGTCGACGCGAATGGCCTCCCGCTGCCGCAGCGAGTCCTCCACGTCCTTCTTCTTCACGCACTGGATGCCCAGGTTCTGGAACGTCACCGACATCGTCTCCACGTTCAGGTTGACGGTGCACACGCCCTTCTTGCAGCCGTCCTTGCCGACCAGATTGTGTGGGTGCGGCCAGTGCGGCGGGTCCTTGGTGACACACGAGACGACGACGACGGCCGGGCCGCGGTAGTTGACCACCTTGACGCTGGGGAAGGTCTTGCTGTCGGCGGTGGAGTTGGCGCCGGGGATGCTGCCGGCCGAGCGGCCCTCGCACTCGTACCTGAAGCGCAGCGCCTTGGACGCCGGCTGCTCCGTGATCACCACCTTGGCCTGACGCCTGAAACGGCGTGGACGAGTCAGGCGCAGGCGAGGCAGGCGCAGGCGAGGCAGGCGAGCACGGCGGGCGGCGGCATGCGCTTACAATCGGTCTGAGGTGCAGGCTGGCACAGACGTGTTCACAACCACGCAGATACAAAACGTCAACCCGCCGTCAAGGAGCCCTGATCGGCGATTCAGCGCCACGCATTAGCGACTTGCTGCTGACTGGAAATAGCTGTTGCGGTCTGTTTCGTTTTGTGACATCACAAATGCACCGCCTTGTCTCACGGGCCTTACCAGCTAGTCGACACTCGCACCCAATACGGGTGATGGGGATTTCCTGCCTTGCGTCATCCTCAGCAACCGGCATCCAACAAAAATAAAAACATGTACATAAACAGCCTGCAGCCAATAGTTGGCCTACAGCATTCCATCCAGGTCATGTGACGAGCTAGCGGGAATCGTCCTTCAGCCTGCAGCTGGACAGGTCGACCGGCGCAGGCTGGAGGTGCGCCGTGACAGGAGCGTCTACGCCCCACCTGGCGCTGACCTGGGGTCATACACCAGCCGAGGGTGGGTCAGGAAAACACCACCCGGCAGCCTCCGCGAGTCAGAGGAGGTGGGACCGGGCTGAGGGCTGAGGATCCGGGGTCAGGGGCCGATCCGGGGCAGCGAGCAGGCTTACAAAGTCAATCTGAACCGAGAAGTAAACGCGAACACGTGGCCAAGCGATGGGGTGATACAAGGGGTGGGTGCTAAAAAAGAACGGAGATGGCGGAGCACGATTCCGTGACTACGGTGCTGAGTCACTAACCGCCATGCATTTCAGTATCCTCCGAAAGAGTGTGACGTGCGCAAACGTCGAGCAGTCGAGGGCCTGGGTGTACTTTTTCAACGCTATCGGTTGCCAACAGCCACACATAGCAAACAGCGTTGCAAAAGTGGCATCGAAGAAGTAACCATGCAGCGCCCAGACCAGGCTGCCAGTTGCGTGCGCCAGTGCTTATACTTCAGTACCGACAGAGACGCAGTAAGTCAGTAGGGAGCAACACCGCAAGCAAAGTAGCAGCCGGCTTGCAACACTATCTGACCTAACCATTCTAACGTTGTCTCCTCAGTACATATCAGCACGTCAAGCAGGAAAGGCGACCACCGTCAGTCAACTCGGCTGTCGTGAATGCAGTCAGCTCGGCTGATAGACTGTCCGGAATTTCGTGGGACAACCGAAGCGGGCCCTTTTCCGTACATTTTAAGCCCGGTCAAAGCCCGTTTAAGCCCGGTTTAAGCCCGGTCAAAATCGGATGTCAGAGAAAAACCCGTCCATAGACCGCAATGAACCTTTCCGGTTGACCTGGATCGCGGCTGTTGTCAAGTCGGGCCTCAGCTGCGCCATCTGCTGGGACTGGCGTGGTCTGACCTGGGCTCAGCCGACAGCCTGACCTCGGGTCAGCCAACAGCCTGACCTCGGGGTCAGCCGACCGGCCGCGCACGAGTGCCGGCACTGGGAGGCATCCATGGCGCGGCGGCTGAGAGAAAAAAAAACTGCCACGGGTCACGATTTTGGGTGCTTCCCCATGTTTGGGAGCCGTTGGATATTTGCTCTAAGAAAGCCGGACTGGAGGGCATGGATGTATCTTATTCTCAGATAAGTCAAGCCAAAGCCATGCGTGTCACATCACCTGATATTCAAATCTAAGTTAAACCCTTATTGCTCGCCGGAGATTACCATCACTGAGTGGTGCACAGCAGAATCAATCCCTTCAACATTCCGAGCATCAGTCTGATGTTTGTATAGCCCGAAGTCAAATGCTGAAGACTCGGACATTTGCATATCAAAAGTAACTTGCGATCAATTTCAGTCATGAAATATGCATGGGCGACAAATGCTCGGGCGTATTGATGACCCGTGACAGTGGTGCCGTGTGGATTGGTGACCGGTGACTGGTGCCGTGTGGATTGGTGACCGGTGACAGTGGCGCCGTTTCCTGGTGATATCCTCGATCTTGGCTTGTGCCCGGATGGTTCGAGCTGGGAAGTGCGCTAATTGCAGGAACAACATTTCGTATTAAAGAAGAGACTTTGTTCTTCAGGCACGCCGGTGGGTCTAAAGACGCCAGAGCACTCGCATGCTATCCCCGAAGTGATGTTAACATTTCTACACATTCGTTTTCATCAATCTCGGGTGCTTACTTCCCATCAATCTCGGATGCCGACAGTCAAATTATAATCTTATTACTGTTCATAATTGAACTTAAAAAGCTACTTTAACAAAAAAAAGATCGGCTCGTTCCAGAAAACATAAAACGTGAATACCCACTCGCACGTACAAACCTTTGCTGCGTGGATTTTGATGCCCTAGCTTACCAGCATTTCGATCAAGCGCGATTTGCTGCAGCGTCATGAAATCATCAAAATAATGTCTGAATGTGTAGCGTACAATATAAGGAGACTGATGCAGACGGATGCATTAATACACAATGGAAACATACAATTTGCTTATCGCCAAGAAGCTGTGAAACGCGGGCAACTCGTGCCCAGATCTCAACCACCGTGGTGACGTCACGAAACCACGCCGTTGGACGGCGGAGAGCACGGACGGCCCCAATGCTAACCGAGGGTGGATGCGCACAGTCGCTGAGGCACGCTGGGGTACAAACCACGGATCCACCGTTTTTACAAGTTCTTTCTTCTAAACCCAGGTCTACACCCTGGGCTCGCGTTCTTCACGTGCTTTTGCAACTTAGAGAGTTCTGTCTTTCCCATGTCAATGCAATGAGGGGAGGGGTGGAATCGCAGTGGTGTTGCAATGCTGCAGGAAAACGTTATCTGATCGAGCCGCTCGCGTGGCAACGCCCGTGAATTCATACAACGTGACTTTTACATAATTAGGCTGCATGTTGTTGAAAACTGCATGCACTTGAAATCAGCGATTGAAAAGATATTAGCTTTCGGCCGGCGTAACCGAAAGGACGGCCCCCCATTTCTCACTTAATGGGGGGCCGTCACAGCTCCAGCACGACCTGTTCGAACTGCGACCTCGCTCGTAAACAAGTAGGATTCATGAGCACAAGTGACGATGACGTAAACGACGCATCTTATTTCAGTAAGTCTTCTGAACAGCTGCCATGCTGACATATCCCCTGGGCACTTACCTGAACCGAACTTCTGAATGCCTTTTGAACAAGCTTTTCCTAGAAGCCAGAGTTCACAATAGCTTGAGAAGAAGTCTTCCCAAATTAGGTCCCCCGGACATATTGTTATTCTCAACATAGGCCTTCCAAGAAGAGGGCTCTGTCCATGTACGTGTCATGCACTTATGTACATCAGTTAAAAGCACAGCCTTCGAGCCCCAAAGACGCTCCAGCGCCATGACACTTGCAGAAGACAGCCAACTGACCGGCCGCCTCTCCGACCACGAGGAGGCGTGGCTGACCTGACCTCGCCCCCGACCCCCCCAATGTCCCTCCCCGCGACGGGCGTCCACTGACCTGGCGCGCATCAGCTGGTCGTAGTCGTCGTGCGGCGCCGCACCGTACTGCGCGGGGGCCGGCGCGTAATAGCCGGGGCCCGGCACGCTGTACGACATGCCGGCGTCGGCCAGCTCCAGGTCCGTCTCGATCACGTCCACTGTGGAACACGACGGCGCTGTGACGCTCGCCTGGAGGCGCGCGCGCGCGCGCGTGCATGCGCAGCGAGAAGACACATCAGGTGGCGCGTCCGATAAGCGGTGACATCATCGACACGCGCACGCGTGCGCACACGGGAGGGCGTGGGTGACTCATGTCCCAAGCGGCGTTGGAGGTGGGACGGCGCGCCGACTCCCCGGCCGTGTGCTGGGCCCGTGTCGCAGTGTCACGGGTCAGCCGGGTCCGCCGTCGCAGTGTCAGCACCCGCTGAACGCGACGGCCCGTCGCGGCTGCGGCGGCGCGCCACGGCGGAGAGTCTGGTCTCCAGGCGCGCGCTGCGGACACGCGGAGGGCGGACGTGCCGGTGACCGCGCCGGCGCGCCACCCCCCCGCCATGACGCGATGCCACGCGCACGCCGACAGACCCACGTCATGGCATCGCTGGCTGATGCCCCTGCCACCGGGATCAGTGACGGAGGAGATCAGGCGGACGGAGTGGAGAGGGAGAGAGAATGACGAGAGGAGAGCGAGGGTGGCACAGAGGGAGGGAGGGAAAGACGAGTGTTTTGGGGGCGCAAACGCACGCCGCTGCTCCCTCCTCAAAGGGAGGGGAAGGAGGGAGCGGGGACGGAGGAAGGAAGCTGGAAGGAAGTGGGAGAGGAAGAAAAAGGGAGAAGGGTGGTGGGAGTGTGGGAAGCAAGGGAAGGGATGAGCATTGGACGAGGTAGAAAAGGTGATACGGAAGGAGAGAATGGCAGCAGAGACAGGACACGTGGATTGGGGAGGCGGGGGGAAGGGAGTGACGGTGGACACTAAAGGCCGGAAATAACATAACAGCCGAAATAAACCCGAATATGTCACCACGCCCACTCGTCCAGCAATGGTGCTGACAAACAAGCAAAGCCACAAGAGTCACATCAAATGAATCTCACTGAGCTGACGGTTGAGAATTATCCGCCAAAGCCGACGGACGACATATTCCAAACCGGATGTCTCGCAACAAAACACGTGATGCAATCGTCCTTGCGTAAAAAGAATCCTGTGGGAACGTCTAACACCCGACCTGAGACGACGGCCGACGTCGGCCATCCCCGACACTGGAATCCAACACGGGCTGGTGTGTGGGGTGGTGAGTGGAGACGAACCCAACGCGCCTCCAACTGAAGGCGTGTTGTAACGCCTGGCCCGAAACGACGGCGTCAACGGACGCGGACGCCAACGCCGCATCGCCAACGGAAGCGGACGCCAACGCCGCATCGCCAACGGAAGCGGACACCAACGCCGCATCGCCAACGGACGCGGACGCCAACGCCGCATCGCCAACGGACGCGGACGCCAACGCCGCATCGGTCGGCTGCTACTCTGGTGACCATTTGATCAGCACCCCTCGTGAATCGCAGCCGGAAAGACGAAGCGGGAGAGGACAGATAAAAATATGTGAATATTTCGAACACAACCGTTTTCGGCGGCGAAAAAATGATCCCAAGTCACCTGCCAAGGCCCTTCGCTCGCTCCCAAGCCAACCCAAAGAAGATCTGCAGAAAAAAAAGCAAGGTCAATTCTGAGTCATGAAGACATGAAGCGCTGGTCTGCACATCATCGATTCACACCTCCTCGCAGGTTCTGGGCGTGTGATGCCCCAGGGCCAGCACACCTGTCGCAGCACCGGGCCTGCATGGGCGCGCACACCGCCACATGTCTGAACTCACCGCGTCCCCCCCCTCCCCCCCCCCCCCCCACCTGCTCCCTCTCAAACATTGCGGCGCGCCTCGCCGCACCTGCACGTTTGGCGCGCGTGGGCGGGGCGTGAGAGTTCGGCATTTCCGCCAGCTGAGGACGACACCGACACGTTCTCACGCCCCCTCCCCGTCCCCCGCCGCACCACGCCGGTCAGCAGCAGCCGACTGCACTAGACCAGGTGCAGGCGAAGCGAAGACGTTCTGCCTCACTACTGCAGCGAAACGTGTCTGCACTGGCGTGTCGGGCGAGTAATTGGGCCCATGCACGAACTTCACCCCACCCGGGCAACTAGAGCCGCTGGGCAACTAGCAGAGCCTGTTTCTGGACACCACGACATACATGGCCTTCCACCCCGGTGTTATGCAACACAATTTCGTAACTGTCCTACCACTGGAAGACGGGTGGTGGAGGTTAGCCCAGGCGACGACGCAGACGGGCGTCACTGGCGCACACAGCCACGCCTCTCCACCCTCATTTGAGACAGCACGAGACACAAACCCGCCCAAGACCACCAGCAGGTGCGAGACAGCGCCGCATCGATGATCTGGCGCGTGGAACGCCAGAGAGGCGTGCACTCCGCGGCGTCCGAGCCTCACCGTACGTACCACGTGCCCAACGCGCCGGGACGGCGCCGCGCAAAGCCACGGTCGGCCGAGGCAGGGTCGCTCGCCGGCGTGCGTCGTCGCCTCCGAGCTCTCCGTCCGCCAGCGCACTCCCAGCGCGCAGCCCTGCGGTCCAGCGCTGCTCAGCGGGAGGAGGAGGAGGCACGGTCCCCAGCCGCCACTCGAGACGCGAACCAAGCCGGCGCCGTCAGAGAGCGCGCGCACGCCGCACGTGCACACCCCGGCCGTCCGTTCGCCGTACTGACCAGAGCGCACGTGCGCTCGCCGCCCAACGTGCATGCCGGCGCCGGCTGGGGAACCACGCCGTGACGTCGCCAGCGTGACGTCACGCGGCGCCGGCGGCTGGGCCAGCCCGCGCGACGTCACCAGGCCGGGGTCCTCAAACTGGCGGCTGGCGGGGCGCGCGGCACGGCCGAGCGCGGCGCCGGTTTGGAGCGCGCGGGAAGTCTCCGGGCGGGCGGCGGGCGGCGGCGGGACGTCCGCCTTCAGGTATCGGCGCTGCCGCCGCCGCGCATCCGGTCCGCCGGGGCGGCGGCGCGCGCGCCGTCGCCGGCCGTCACGGCCGGCAGCGAGCGGCGCGTCGGCACGCACGGCGCGGAAGGGGCGGGGCGCCGGGCGGGCGAGCCGCAACCACCGGTGGCGGCGTGTCGCTGTCGTCGCGTCACCAGGCGGTCTGAAGGACAGGCGGGCAACTCCTCCGCGGGGCTCCCACTTTCTGAGTCTCGGGAAACCCACCAGCTCATGTCTGGAGCTCAGGCAACCGCGCAAAAAATCGTCTTCAAAAAGCTGCTGGGATCCGGAGGCCTAATTTTCCACCAGACACAACCTAATCGGGAGGGCAGGGACACGGAGGGAGGAAACCCTGGATCCTGGAGAGAGGGAGCCGTGGATTCTGGAAGGAAGCCCTGGATCCTCGTTCCCAATGGTTCTTTCGTCAACTCAAACCGGTCTTTTGTTTGTAAGCAGTCTTTTGTTTTAAGCAGTCTTTTGTTTGTAAACACACCGGTCTTTATTCCCAGTTTTCTTCACAAAGTACCGGACGTTGGTTCCCGGTTCACAACGACTCTTTCACAAACACCAACCAGCGGTTCTGATCGCTCCTTTCGCATGTATTAAGCCCTGGTACCACTGGTTCTTTTGCAAAAAACAGAGTCTGGTTAAAGGTTACGAGTCCCTAGCAAACACCAGGCACTGGTTGCCGGTTCCCATTAGCTCACCCACAGAACGTCCCATCCTGGTTCTGGTTCTCGTTGGCTCATTCGTGAACACCAGTTCTGGTAGCCGATTCACAGTGCTTTACCATTGAACTGTGTATATGTATGAAATAGAAGATATCCTGTGTCCGTTCTGTTATAAATGTAATGTGCATTGCTGAACAACATCATGTAACTTGAGAACCTTATTTATCACCACGCTGAAAATCTGCGAAAATTATGGCACGTTATTCACGTTCACCAGTATACCCCATACATGCTGATGACCGCGCCCGGGCCTGACAAGAGCCGGCCATGCGGCGCGGCTCGGCTCAGTCGGCCGAGTCTGCTTCCGCTGGGGGCCGCGCAGGGCCGCACATAGCGCCGCGTGAGACCGGGCGACTCAGGACCAGGGGCTAACCCAGTGCAATGACGCGCAGAGCGCCTCAGAGTGATGCTGCACATTTGACATGGTCTCACGCACCAGCCGGTGCCTGTCAGTGAGCTCAGCGCTCACGCGCGCCCAGCGGCCGTACCAAGCCGTCCGGCAGCCGGGACAGCGTGGAGCGGCCGGCGCCGGCCCGACACGGCGGCGCGGCGCCGGCCGGCACGGCGCCGGCCGGCGCACGCGACGCACGCGGCCGCGGCGGCGACCGCCCCTTTCCTCGCTCTCTTCCTCCTGCTGGTGAACAGCAGCGGGCACATGTCTCACGGCGGCGTCCTCCCGACGCAGAACAGACGTATGGCGCCCTCAGCGCTCAGCACGGCCAACAGGCGTGCCGGCTGTGGACGTGCGACGGTGGACGTGCCGGCGGTGGACGTGCCGGCGGTGGACCTGCGGCGGTGGACGTGCCGGCGGTGGACGTGCGACGGTAGACGTCCGACGGTGGACGTGCGACGGTGGACGTGCCGGCGGCGGACCTGCGGTCAGTGGACGCGTGGGCGGTGGACGCGCCCCAGCGGCGGACCTGCGGTCGGTGGACGCGTGGGCGGTGGACGCGCCCCAGCGGGCGTCCGAGCCCCGACACGCGGCGTCCGTCGAGGCGGCGGGCGTGAGAGCGATACCATCAGCCCGGGCAGATGAGCGGCTGACGGGCGGCGGCCGCCGTCAGCCGCTCCGCCGGCCGGGAAGTCCGACAACAGAGCGGCAACCGGACGCTGGCCAGGGTGGGGCAGGGGAGGGAGGCCAGTTTGACTGGGAAAAGACGCGCCATCCGGGGGCTGTCATGGAAAAAACGAAAGCCGTGGAAAGAACACCATACCAGGGAGTCGGGAGCCTGACTGGCGGTGACCAATCCCAGCGTGGCGGTGGTAACGGTCTCACGGGACAAACATGAAACGGATGCGCCGACGCGGCAACTCGGCGGGCGGAGGAGCATGGCGAGCGCGTGGCATCAATCACGAGTGAACCGGAAGTGGAGAATTTACGCACTCGTGCATCCGAT